TGTCTTGCGACTGGAAACAAACAGCAGGACGAAATGATAGGAAAAAAATGTGTGGAAAATTTATACTTTGATTATGATGAGTATTTTCCTTTGTTATTATCGACGAAAAGAATAAACGACCGTGGAGAAACACCTTTGAAATCATATTTTTTCGTCTTTTTTTTCCTTCGCACGAGCCACGACAAAAAACGCAGTAATTATGTTTTACCACCGTGCGCGCGAAATGAAAAAAAAAAACCGAACAAAATTCTTTTCAATTTACAGGCACAGCACTCAAACGACCGAAACGGGCTATTTGCTCAGCGCTTAGATAAGAAGACTATATACATTTCTCCACATTTCAATACAACAACGGGGAAGAAAAGAAGAAATACAAATGGTTTGACAAATGTTTTACAAACATTGCTGGCATCGATCCACCACCAAACGCAAACAATTATAATCGAATGACATTGTAAAACGAAAAGGAACGGTTCGCCGCTGTGTGTTGTTGTTGTTGTTGTTTCTGTGTTTAGACTATAAACAGGTGTGCGTTTTTTCTGTCTGTAATGCGGTATGAAACGCGTGCGCCACACACCGTACCAAAAAACATATGCCACGAACTTTACAATCGAAAGTTAAAATTACACATTTCACTGTCGCTCTCGCTATCGCTGCGTGTATTCGAATCGATTATGCGTGCTTCGATTGAGATTGGAGACAAAAGTCGACTTTTGTCTAGTCGTAGGTGGCAGTCAATACACAAATCCGCCTCTTTTCATCATTATTACTTTCATGTCTCTATTTGTGATTTGGAGTTGAAATCTATTTAACCCATGTTTGAGTCGAAGTGAAACGAAAACTTCGATTGCAAAGGACGAATGAGAATATACCTTCGAAATCACATACTTTTTGACATTTCTCATTTCTTCATTATCCAGCACGCAATGCTCAAAAATGCTAGTGAAATTTGTTCATTGGCTTCCAACGTTGTCGCAATTCAATCAATGAACACTCTGTGAGTTTGTGTACGTTTGGTGTTTGCTTTTAAAAAAGGTAAATCACATGCCTTCATCGCAACATGGAATTTTCGCTCGTTTTTTTTCTGTCTTTTTCAACTGTATTTCAATCGAAGGATATGAATTATTACCATAAATCTACCTAACTATCGGATCCGTAAGCATATCGAACGCGTGCTATCGGGCAGCTGCACGTTGGAAATCCATTTTTTTCATTCGGTTTAACATGTATCGAAACATTTGCGCATCTTTCCCTTCCTGGTGATCTTTTTTCATTTCTTCTATGTCTTTGTTCCGTGTAGAAACGGAATCAATCGCAAATGGTCAATGAAATTGCCATTAAAAAGAGAAACTTTTCAATTATGCATTTTGATCGGTACGATGCATGCCGGACATTTCGATTTAGACGTGTGTGTGAATGTGAGTGTTTTCATGCGTAACCGTTTTTGTTCGAGTTTGAAATGAATACGTCGATTTTTTAGGTAGAATTGAAAAGAATAGAAAAATGGTTTTGTTTTGTTCAAAATCGATTTTTTTTTACCGAAAAATGAAATCGAATGTGAGTGGCATTGAAATAATGGCAAAAGGACTGTGTGTATGTGTCGTCTGCACATGATAAATGTACGCATATACATATTTTTAATGGTTTTGAAAAGCGGCGCATTGCTGGAAATCTCCGGAATCAATGCTCATTATTGTGCGCATATGCAAACTGCAATTTGGAAAGAAATCACAATGTGAATCACAACGAGCAACACATTTTTGGAAATGCATATGCACAATAAAAATGTGCATAAAATAAAATCAATTATTTTTTTTGCTCTCTCTCTCTCACTCTTATGTATTCGAATGAATGGTAAAATGCAAAACGAACCCTCATTCCATTTTGACAAGGGCAATGGTCTATTCTCATCTGCACCGGCACACACGAGATCAAAATGTGCACAGAAAATTAGGGCAATTTAATTCAAAATCAAATGTGTACGCCGAGTTTTTATGCATTTTTGTTGATTTTTATTCTTTTGAATGCATTAGAAATCGATCGAATGCATTGGTTTCTTGCTTTTTTCCGGTGTCTCTCTCTCGACTCGAAAACTGCATTTCCTATTCATATGGTCGAAATATAATAGTTTGGTTGGCTTTGGAAATGCAAACAGCATGATGTATTTCAATTTGAATATAGACTTCATTTTAATGTTGTGTTTGCCACAGTAAAAAAAACGAACAGCATCGTTTTTGTATAAAATACAAATTGATGGGGGAATGTGTCATTTTCATAACGGTCAGTTTGAGAGAACGAAAAAAACAATGTCGAAAAAAAATGAGAAGAGCAAACGAATTTTCAAAAGGGCCAATCAATTGAACTTATAGGCAGATTGATTCGGATGTGTATCATCGGAGTGATTTCTTGCATAATAATTGAGTGTAATTGTGAATGCATTGTTCTGAAGCCATCCAGAATATCGTGTGTGCGTGTTTTTTTTCCAGCGAGAATACAAAAAAAGTTATTTTTCTCTTCATTTGGACTATTGTCAACTGGAGAGAAAAAAAAATCATTAATTCTTACTTTTCGGAATTGATTATGTTTTCAGTCAACCGCATGTTTAACGACATTCAATTCGCCCGTATGATTGAACTTTTTTTTTCCATCTTTTTGATGTCGAAAAAAGTCGAAATGTTATCATAAATCTTATTCAATTTTATTGAAGTAAAATGAAAACTATATTTATAAATGGACAAAATGTCAACTTATAATTTCGTTTGAGTAGATTGTCAGTTGGCTGGCACTCCAAACTGTACAATGTGTAGTTCTGCGACGCCAAATCCCGTATTTTCCGATGATTTGTTGACTTTGTCAATGTAATCAATCAATGATATCTTATTCATTTAAATTGGCAATTCAATCGTTTGCCGCGTGTGTAATACGAGACAAATTTCGTCATATTCGGTCACTGGTCACCCATATTACATCCAATTACTGGTCTCTTCAACAAAATAATGAAATAAAAACAAACGAAAATAATGTGGTCCATCTCTCTTCTTACCTCTCAATTTTGAAAATAAACCAAAACTAAACGAAAAACAAAGAAATAAAATAAAAAAATTCAACCAAAAAGTCATAAATTCTTCGAATCATTTTTTTTATTTAAGAGAAAATAAAATTAAAAATAGTCCTAATTTAAATTTGTCTACAAATAATAAGCTTATAAGAAATAAATATTAAATCAAAATGAAAATCTGTCCATTGTTCTGATTGAAAGTGTTTGTGTGTTAAAAATGTGTACAAATGTGTATTGTTTCATTGTGTGTATGTGTGTTTATAACAAAACAGTTCCATATATATCACCCGTTCAAACTACAAAATATATGAAAAAGTGTCTTCTTCTTCGTCTCTTCGTCCCGAGGAGCATCTCCTTTTGGAGAAGATTTCGTTTTGATTTGTTCTCTCTTTGGCATTTCCGTCCAATGAATAGACATCCAATTAGTGTTGTCTCTCGTGCCGTCAAATTAAGATATTTGTCGTGGTTTTGGTTGACTCTTTTTGATTCATTTGAGTTTGATTTGGAAATTGTGTCACCTTTTCGGTTTTTGTTTTTGATCACTGATCGCCAATTCTTTGCCGTCATCGACGTCATTTTACTAGATAAATTTGGATTCATTTTGAATGATTTCATTAGGAAATGATGCGATTGAGAAATAAGCAACTGCTAAAAAGGCACACAGCATCAAAACATTTTTTAGAGTCATTAGCAGTGGCTAAATTCCGCGTTGATGCCCCATTCGATTGGAATATTCTAATCTTTTTTCTGAGAACAAATTTATCGCCAAAATGGATCGTGGTTTGCCATCAACACTCTGTGCTTTTGGTCGATATTTTGGCTTTGGAAATGCAAACAACATGTTGTATTTGAATTTGAATAATATTTTGTCATTTGGCAACATGTTCGCATCATTTCCCAACTTAAACCGTGCCTTTTTCATTTTTCGATGGTTCAGAATTTTCTGTGGCGATATACCAGCGCCGAATCAGCGATCGGCTTTCAATGCTTATTCAACACATTTAGTTTAAAGAGTTTTTTTATGTATTTGATAAACTTATGTCAAAAGATTGTACTTTTAGTTAAGCCCTGAGTGTATTTTCATATTACATATTCTTTTTTTATTTCATTGTATTCGTTTCGCGTTCATATTAATTTGATTTAAGATTTGTTCTTTGTTTATTATTGGTTTTGATTCTTTGCACATGTTCGGCTATTTTAATTGTTTGGCATTTTGAATACTGACTAGAGACTATTCAACCTGGAGAGTCTGTACATAATTTTATCTTTATAAGCCATTGAATGGATGAGTTTTTTTTGTTTGTTTGCGGTTTGGTGAATTCATTTTGTTAAGCATTTTACAAGCTGTGAACAATGTGTTTTGCCGTAATGACAAACGGCTCTTTGATTATTTCGATTTGAAATTTGCATTCAATTCGTCGTGTTAGTACAATTATCTAAAAATTACATATTAAATTTACACTAAATGGAAAAAACACCTGATTTGATTTCATTCGCTTTGACTTTGAGAACAAAATAAACAATAATGTACATTCAAAGAGACCTGTTTTTCTTTCGCATCTAAAAAATGAACATAAAATTGGATGAAATTGAGCAATGAATCTTTGAATTAAAAAAAAATCGATACAAATGAAACGAAGATCAAGATGACTCCGGAAGAAAAGATGGAAATCAAGAGCAAAATCATGGAATGCTTTATACAATAAATAATAGTTTAATTATTTCATATTTTTGAGGTATTTACTTGCGTAATTTAAATTATTTTTGATTTTTTGATAGGAACTTTGTTGAAAACATCACTGTTCGCTGACCGCCTCCCCGTTTTGGACAGTGGAGCGGCCGTTTCTTTCTTCATAGACTCTCCTGTTCGATCTTCAATTTCTTCCCTTTTTTCGGTTCACATTTTATACTCAGTCTTCGATCCGCTTCATTTCTTTCATTCTTTCTTTCTTTTTTTGTCGGTTCATTTCACGGTTTGACTGGTTTTGTCTATTATTTGGTTTGTTCATTTGCAATTTATCAGTTTCTGTGACTCATTCACTTGTTTCTCATTTACAGTGTTTTATATGTTTTAGTCTAGGATTAACCATAGTCATTTGTGTTGTGTATTTGGTTTTTTACTCTTCTTTTTTTTGATCAGACAATAAGTAATAATTAAATTTGACTAGCATTGCACAATAACTAGAAATGAGGATAGTTTATGGTATATAAATTATTTATGTATATTCTTTATGTAGCATTAATGTGATTACTTTTTTTTGTTATCGATAAGTAGCTAAATAATACAACTTTTCACACGTTCAGGTTTTCTACACTTCTGTTTCATTCTCCTGCTTTTGTGTGGAAATATTGTGGGTTTGTATGTAAATTCATTGATTTTTTTTTGGTAATTTGGCAAATTGTAAAAGTGTTTGTCAATCATCATCTGGGTTTAAGCCGGTGTTAGGGAGAATGAAACAGTAGTTTTGCCAGCAATACGTTCTCTGACCGGTAAAAATACAACGGATGGTACGAACCTTGTTTTTGCGTTGTTGCCATTGTCGTTGGTGTCATCGTTGTCGATGGGCTCCAATAGGAATGATTGCATAAACATACCGTTGCTGAATTCCTGTGGTATGGCATAGGTTGTTGGTCGTTTGGTGATGTTTGCCATTTCAGCTAAAATATTCTGAGCTTCAAATTGATCCTGACGCTGTTGGTCATCTTTGAATTTTTGCTCAGGTGATGCGCCTTTTAACAGCATTTCCACATCATTTAAATGGCTGGCTTTGTGCATGGGGGAGGAAATGTTTGGATTTAATTCGGAGGCTGGCAATTGAATCGGAATTGGTGTTGTGGCTGGTGTTGATAGTGGTGTATTGCCAACGGAAGCGGTTTCATTTGATGTCTTCAGGGCCAACGGTTGATCTTTTGCAATGGAAACGGCCGATTCAGATTGATTTGCAAGCCCATTATTATCGCCGGGAATATTTAAACCGGCCAGAGTTTCATTGGTCATGAGGGCAGCGTGCAATGAACGTTTGTGAATGTAGAGAAATGCGTATGATGGTGTGGAAAACGAGCAGAATGAGCATTGGTATTCTTTTGCTTTTGAAATCGGCGATTCGTCAACGGAGAATAAGCTGTTGAGTGCTTGTTTTTGCATGAAATTCGGATCGGTTGGATTCAAGCCCGGGAATGTACCGTTTGGAATTTTAATCGGAGGACTGTTCGATTTTGGTAAATTGACCAATTGTTGTTCGATTTCACGCAATTTATCGGTACCTTGTTTACCGTGATCGGTTAACAGATGGGTTCGCAACCATTTTGCACCGCGGAAACGACGATTGCACAATGGGCACACTTCGGCAAAGTGTGTGAAATACCGATTGCTCAAATCGTTTGCAACTTCACCCGATTTCAACGAAGCATCGACCGATGGGAATATTGGCGTTGGCTCTGGTTCGGCTTGATCACCATTTTGACGTGGCTGTGGTAACGGTGATCCATCTTCGACAATACCATGCGTGTTGTGTTTATGTACACGCAAAAAGTATTTGCTGCACAATTCCTTGTTGCAAATGTTGCAAACAACGCCGCCGATTTGAGCTCCATTTTCGATTTCGATGCCGTGCATTCGTTGCATGTGGGTTTTCATAAAGTACTTGTTGCACAATTCTTTGTTGCAAATCTCACAGTAGCTGCTGGTTGGTGTGATTGTGTACGGTCGACGTTCGTTAATCTGCGCATTTGGTGCTTGTGGTGGCAAACTTATGCCCGAAATCGGCCGTTCAGGTGTGACGAATCCTTCACGCGCCGGACTTGTCGGCGAAATACCGTGCACTTCAAACAAGTGTTGATTCAATGCAAACGCATTGGGTAGCTCTTTGTCACAATGTTTACACGTTTCCGTGGTTTGATTGATGACTGGTGATGTGCTCGGCGATGATTTTATTAGACCATTGTTATTATCACCGATGTTCGTGTGCTCGGTCAACATGTGAGTGTGCAAAACAAACTGATTCTCTTGCTCTTTACCGCAAATGCCACACATTACCGGGCGCTGGGCATTCAAGTCGTTCAACTGCATTATCATACTTTGTAGCTTTTGTAGGTCGACACTTATATTTTCACTGTCTTGCTGGTTGTCGGTGGATTTATTTTCGGCTTCGTCAACATCGTCCGTATCGTCAATCAGTTTCTTGTCGCTGTCATTTAATTTACGCTTTTTATGCGGCTGCTCAAGCTCATCGTCGGTGCTTTCAATGGAAAGTTTACGAATTTCACCCGCCTCGAGTTTCTTACGTTGGTTTTGCAGTTGGTTCAGTGCTTCGGCATTGTTCATAATCAAATTCAGCGGAGCATTTTGCATCAATTGCCATGCACTTGCAGCGGCAGCGGCCGCACTAGCCATTGAACGTCCATCTTTTAGGATTGCATCGTCGAGTGGCATGAAGATGCCATGCCGTTTGATTTTATGCGTACGCAAAAAGTATTTGTTACAGTATTCTTTGCAGCAAATCTCGCAGAATGCCTCCGGATTGATGACACCGAGCCGTTTCAATTTGTCCACGGAGAAATTGGCTTCACGTGCCTGTAGAATCGATTGCGGCGACAATTTCCGTGGTTGCGGGGTGAATGTTGTGTCTTCTTGTTCGATGGAGAAATCTTCACGGAAACCGTCTGGCATTGTAATCGGAGTCGATGCGTTGGATGTGTTTGTCGACATTTTTGCATCGGTGTTCGAATCATTTGGCGGTGGAATCTCATGTACTTTTGATCGATGGCGTCGCATTGCAACCAAAGTGGGATAACGTTTGAAACAAATATCGCACATCACTGAATTTTCCTGGGCCCCGGATTGTGAACCGCTAGACGGCGATTGACGTTGAGACGATGACGATGTGGATTGTGGTGGCGGTGATTTTGGTGATACCATTTGCTGTTGCTGAGCGGCCAATTGTTGTTGTTGCATCTGAAAGACTTGTGACATTTGATTGAGTTGACTTGTGGTGGGTGTTTCGGTTGTCGATGTGACCGACTCATAGATATTGTGCTTGTTGGCTTTGTGCGTTTTCAGGAAGTATTTGTTGCAAAATTCCTTATTGCAGAGATCGCAGTAGGCTTCCGGATTGAAAATTCGTAGCGGTGGTGCGGCCGATCGTGGCAAACCATCGGCCGAAGCAAACGGATTATTGGGAACGCCAAGCAGTGGCAATTGTGGCAAATAGCCCGAAGCCGATAGCATTACGGCTGCCTCAGGCGGAAATGCAAATGGTAAATTAGATAGTGATGCAAGCCATTCCTCCGGTTTCAATTGTCCGTTTGCAGCCATTTGCATCAGCTTTTCTCGATCATCGTCACTGTTCCAGCTATTTGTCAACGACGATGATGTGCCACCGATTTCTTTTTTCACAAAAATTTTCGGTATTTCATCTTCGGCTGATTTCGGGTCGCCAACTTTACTCAGGTTTTTCGGTGCATGCTCTTGCAGAATGTGCAATCCAAGTTGAATTTCCGAATCCAATTTCAATCCGCACTGATCACAATTCAAATTGTTTGCAAACGATCTCAATAGTTGCTCATGATTTTCACTGAATTTTTTCACATTTTCAATTTGACCGTTTTCTTTTTGTGCACTGTCCACTTCGCCGCCCATTCTAAAGTTGGCCGATCTCTCTTGCAATTGGCTCAAATTGGAGAGATAAATTCGTGGCAATGCTGCTGCTTGTTGAGCTGCATCTTCGTCACCATCGCCGCCGGCCAAATCAATCGCTTCGATGCCTTTCTTTTCGGCTTCATTTTGACCATTTGTTGGGCCCATTGCAGCCATTGCTGCGCTCAGTAAACTTGCACCTTTTGTTTCGGCGATACGAATCGGAGTGGATTGTTTACGTCGTTTTTTCGAGTTATCGGGCATTGAATCCATCAACAACGATGACAAACTATTTATATTGATACCATCACTGTTTGCAGTGCTGCCGTTGCTTGCCGTCAACGTATCCAATGTGTTTACTATGCTTGACGGCAGTGTAATGTTTATGTTACCTGCAAACGGTATTGTTGCGTTTGATGCATTCGGACTGTTATTCGACGATGAAGATGATGTGGTGGTGGTGATGATGCTCGGTGCAGTCACAACACCGGACGCTTCCATTGCAGATGATGTACTCAACAATGAGCTTGCGGATAAACTACGTTTTAATGTTTTCATTGAATTTGACGGACTACTTATCTGAGACGAATTGGATACATCACTAAGTGCTGTCTCATCGCCACTCAAATGATCGGGAGGTGGTGTAGCATACACAGATGCTGCCATTACGAGCTAAACAGAGATAGAGAGAGAAATAGATATGAAAAATTAGGAGGAGAAATACTTTTGATAAGAAACATTATTCGTTGTGATTCATTTAACACACAATTTTTCCTCTGCTTCTTCTTTGGAACTAAAATTGCAAATAACTTTGTTTTCATTGACAATATTCCAAATGATGTAATGTCGGAATCGTTATTCTCTTTGCTACTGTTTTACAAACTTATAACAATAGTTTCGAAGGAATATCATAATAAAGAAAAGGAGAAAAAAAAAACTTTTTCAATTTATTCGAATGAAAAGTTGCGAAGAAATGAAAAATATTAATTTAGCCATGGAATCATTGGAGTTGGGCGCATATGAGTAATGTACCGCATTATAAAATGAATTTTTGCTTGGATCATTGACTTTTTATTTAGCGTTCGTTGACAACACAATCATTGTCATTGACAAACATTAAAACGGAATTGATTTGATTTTCGATGGAATTGGCCAAATCGTAACGCAAAATGGCAATTTTGTGCAAAGTTCATCAATCAAGCAAAAGTTTCAAAACTACTTCCATTACTTCGGATGTAATCAAAAAATTTCAATTTTCAATAGTTTTTTCTTCTTGGTTAGCCGAGTGGCGCCACGCGGCTTCACAAAAGTCAAATTGTTCTATTCCTTCCCGTAATGTCTTGAAATCAAAAACTTCATCCATTGGATGTGGTAGCGGTGGTGGTGGTGGTGGTTGGAAATTGAAAGTCACTTTCACTTTTGTTCGTTCGTATACTTGAAATGTGTCAATATTGTGTCGCGTGGTTTCAATTCAAAACCGAAAAATAAATATTTTGTTGAGAACAAAGAATGGAAGAAAAAAAAGTTGGTGTGTGCTCACAAACAATTGGTATGACGCCAATAACCGAAAAATCAACAGAAATTTTGTTTTTATTTATTAAAAAAGAAAGTGAAAAGCAGCCATGATGGAAAGACAGACACATCACATAAATAATGAATTTTCCATCCAGAAAGAGATATGGCAGCTACATAGTGTTTGGTGGCGGTTGTGTGCACGCGAGTGAGCTTACGAAGAATGAGGTAGTATGCTCTACTTTTATCAATTCTATTGGGTTGGAGGTTGGGCGATTTTATTTTTATCGGCAATAAAAATCTTTGACAGTATTTGAAACGAATGAAAATATTGAATTTTGTACACCTGAACCACATGCATACACACTCGCACGAGCCCAAGTTACTAAATGCCTATCTATAATAGCGTTAATATGTGTTTCATTTTTTGTTGTTGATGTGTTTATCTTTGAACATGTACCAACAAAGCTTTATTATTACATTCTATTCTTCCACTCGTTCCATTCGTTTTTCACTACTTTTTTTTTCATTCAATATGCTGTGGAAAAAATGCGTTTGTGATTCATTCGTCGTGAATATTGTGTTGCTATCCACTTTGAATTTTTTTTAAACACATACACGACACCGACGAATGAAATATTGTGTCGTTGTCGAGGCTCATGTTTGGTGGTTTGTTTACTCAAAATAAAATGCGTCGAAAAGAATGTGCTTCGATTAACGGTATGTGCGAATGGGGCGCGCACGCAGCGAACGGGCGACGATGAGTGAGAGAGGAGGAGGTAGAAGAAGAAGAAATTTCGTTTCGATTAGAAATTGTGATATAAATTCGATCGATTTTTATTCTTTTGCTTCGCTTCGTGTGTCGGTTCGTTCAGGCGGGGGATTCTATTTTCCTCTCGTCTATTTCGTTCTAGTCTATTGTGTGGCTGGCATTCATTTGTATTTAATGCAGCGGCGCTCTTTATTGGCTTATTGGCTTTCAAGTGCTCTAAAGATGAAAGTATTGCAAAGTCTGATAGAAAACAGTACATAGACATACACACAACACTCTTGGTCTCTGCATTGCTTCTGCCATGATGCAAGCAGTGAAAGTGAAATGGAAAAAGAATGGAGATGGAGTAATTTCGGCAAAAACAGATAAAATGTTGAAGCCATATGCTCAATTTAATTGTTCATATGGCACATGAGTGAATGTATGTACGGCTGTGCGTACATTGCGAATACGAGGCTTACACTTAACACTCACGTTGCTAAGTAGTCAAGATTGACGCCAGACATTTGCAAGTGTCATATTGTTCAAACTGATTTCTTGTCAATAGCATCGTTTTTTTTTCTTGGTTTTTGATACAACGAAATGAAGACATAAAATTAAAGAGGTGTGGATCAGAGTATATAAGCAATCCGGAGTTGGATACAAATCATACATTCACAAATACAAATCTCACAGGCGTTCAGGAGTCCTGAATCAGGACAAAATCAAAACGGGCGAAAAATTCACTTGAACAAAACAACATTAAAAAAGAGAACTTACACAAAATTGCTTTAAAAAAATTAAGACACTAAAAAAAACTGAAATTTTTTCACTTAAATAGTTCTACGGTGGTTTTATTGTCTTTTGGTCATTTCTCAAAAATTTCGCATAAAAATGTCACTTTCGATAAAATCAAATCTCTAGCTGTCAGGTTGAAATGCGTGCACACTGCATTGCGTAAAATAAAAATCAAGGCAGCCGAGAGCAGGGAGAGTGAGGAAAACGAAATGCGTTATCGATCGCTCAAATAATCGATAGCAACTAAAATTAAAAATCAACCAACATCGAAATAAATACAATTGTTACATTTGTAGCAAGGCTGTTCGCCGAGATTAGCAGTGCCCGTTTTGGAATTGATGTGCAGGAAACGTGGATGATGACATACACTCACATGCATATATATACACATCGCATACGCATACACACTCATATGCGACCGTATCGATTTTTTTTCCTAATTTCATTGGAAAAAAAATTCCAAATTTTTGGAAAAATGCATATACACAGAGCGTGCACACACAGAGAGCAACGATTCGAGGCTTAGTAGTAATAAAATAATTGCATTACGAACGCACACACCACACCCCATTTCAGTGCAAACAATGCCGGGGACAAACAAAGTCGGGTAACGTGCGTCTGTGTGCACGATAAATGCGTTGAATAAATATTTCAGCGAGAAAAGAAACAGAATAACAAAGGGGAATTGAGAAACTACATACAAACAAAGAGAGCGACTAGAGTGATGTGTGTGCATGTACGATATGGTAGTGCAGTGCGATATTATTGAAATTCACAATTTCAAAAAACGTAAAAATCACCCCAAAAATGAGTAAAACTTCGATGTTTGTCTCTGTATCGGTCTGTGTGTATTCGTGTGCGTCTCTCTCCTTTTGCAATGACAAAGTCGACGAGCATAAAGATATGATTATGAGTGTCGTATGGTGAATGTACTGCTGTTCGACCAAATCAATTGTCCTTTATGCAGTCTGCTGTTGGCTTTTCTTCCACTCTCTCTCTCTCTCTCTCTCTCTCTCTCTCTCTCTCTCTCTCTCTC